AATCAAAGCTGATTGAGAGCCTAGCTCAAGAGCATTGCTTGGTGTTTTTGATTCCCATTGAGCCTCCACCACGGCGAGAGGCGACGGCGTACGAAGCACAACATCAAGCTTTGAGAGCACTGCCTCTGGATCAAGCGGCACAAGGCCGGCGCCTCGAAAGCTTGCGCAAATATTGCTCTTTATAAACGAGTTGTCAAATGCTGCTTTAAAAGCTGGTAGGAACTCAAGCTTCGTGATGTGGTTGATGTGGTTGCGCGCTAGATCCTTAATTTGGCGACCGTACGCTTTTTTCAACGGCGCAAAACAGCCTACATCAAGCGGCTGCAATAGATGCGAGGCGTGCGGCGGCATACATAGCGTGATGATATTGTTCTCCTTGCAAAGCTCTTTAAATTCGAGCGAGTTGTGGCTCTTATAACCGTCCAAAATAAGCAAGCGATGTGCGCCTACGGTGCGGTCCTTTGTATGCGTATTGAAATATTACAGCCATGCAACACCAAGCTTATTTATTGTCCAGCCATTGTCGCTTACTGCTATAGCCCAGTCTGGCGGTATATCGCTGCCCTCGTACCATGCAGAGAGGTGGTACTTGCCCGCAAGGATGATGAACGGCGGGATTGCCCATCCACATGCGTTGATGGCCTTGATTACAGTGGCCCACTCGCGATCACCTGGTTGTATAGCTTTTGGTCAATTTCGTCTCTCGGAGCCTGTAACAACTACTCCTGTTGAGATAACACCCATCTAGAAGCCGGTTTCATCGAAGTTGTAGGAGTCGTCATCCGTGATACCGTACTTCGCCTTTATATTGCGCACAAGCTCAAACCACGGCGCAATAATCCTTGGATCTTTGCATAGAGCTCTCTGGCAATTATACTTTCGATTAAACCGTGTTTAAAGCTTATCGGTCCGCTTGACAAAGTTGCATGGCCAGTTCTTGCCAACCTGGCCGGCACCGTGCTCTCTGAGTAACTTATTGGCCATATCTCTTACAGCGTTTAAGCTAGGCGCAAACCCTCGCGAATCCAGATCGAGTACATATTCAATAATAACTGATTCCTCTAGCTTTGCAAGCTTTTTTGAATTGGGCTCACAATCGCGTCGAGCGGTGGTTCCGGCGCGTCGGTCTTGGAGCGTGCTTCTAGGGATGTTGTACGTTACAACAGTGCGTCGTTCGCTTTGAAGTTGATTCTTATCAATTGCTAAGATAGCTAGGCAGATTCGGCCTTCTTTTTGGATTGATTGTACATTGCGTTGTTGAGACATAGTGGTTGAAAGCTAACGGAGCGCGTTTTGGTGATGAGGTGGCCGGCTCGCTTAGGTGGCCGGCTCGCTTGTGTTGCACGTTATACACCGCTAAACTGTTCTGCATTTACAATACTTTTGCATTCTTCAAACTTCAAGTATCTAGCGCAAGATCATCCGCTTGCCACTTGTTTAGCCAATAAAGCGAAGCTTCTGTGTCTGGATGTCGAGGGCCAAGGCGCTTCCGCTGTAGCTCGAGACAATCTTCCATAAGTGAGACAGCCTCCTTATTTTGGCCTACGGACTTCCACGTACAGGCCAGGTTAGCCATGCTAATCAGGGTGTCTGGATGCTCCACCCCAAGCACCCTCTTTAGTGCCTCCATTACTTGCACCTCTAGCTCTTTAGCCTCCTTCCACCGCTGTTGACTCCAGTATGTTGACGCCAGGTTACCCATGCTAGCCAGCGTTTCTGGATGCTCGTCCCCAAGCACCCTCTTTTTCGTCTCCAATACTTGCACCTCTAGCTCTTCGGCCTCCTTT